TGCTTGCTTGCTTGCTTGCTTGCTTGCTTGCTTGCTTGCTTGCTTGCCAATTGCTTTGTTTCGGGGATTGAGCGATGGCTGCAACAATGTGATAAATTGATTTGCTTGTTGGATAGAAGAGTATAAATAAATAAGAGAAACCAGGTATTTAATACTGTACCCGCTTCAGGCTATTCAAAGCTCACCGGCGATGCCATACAGGTTGTTGTTTTTGTAGCCAGGTGATGGTCAAATGACGATGCGGAGTATGCTGCAACAGGTGCTCACGTAAACCCCCGACCTGGATGATCCGGTCAACCAGGAAAATGTGTCCTTTCGTGCACTGACGCGGCTGAACTTGTACAGTATTTCATTTGTTTTGTGTGCATGTGTGCGTGCGGGACCCTGACACGAACACGGCAAAAAAGAATCAAATATAAATAGCAGAGTAAATAGTAGCTGCTATTGGGAGGGAGGAGGGGGAGCAAGCTCCAGGCCAAATCCTGGGCAATGTTTTGACCGCGGCAAATAAAATATGGACGGTCTGAAACGGACATATACCTTTTGTCATGTTTGTTCACATTTTGTGACATGTTCTCCCTTCAAACAGTTGGCAAGTGTTTGTCAATGCGACGGCTGCACAGCGCTAACCGCTAACCGGACTCCCTATCAGGAACACGCCAGCCTCGCTCGGCTGACGCTAGCGTACATTGTCCTAGACTGGGGTCAGCGGATTTTTGTGGTACTTTGCTGGACTTTCTGGTGTTCCCATTGCTTTTTTCAGACAAGTTTTCATTTGAGGATTACATGGGCAATGGTTTCTACATGAGCCTGGGCAATGTGCAGCTTCAAAAGTTGGGTTCCTTGGTCTTCGTGGACTGGGACGACCACGGCCACGGAGTGCAAGTGCTGGGCAGCGTGCGGACCGTGGAGCGCTCGGAGATCGACGCGGCCTCAGAGTTGGCGGAAGTCGTGGCGCAAGAGCCCCAAGCTTTGCGATTGGTGGCGGCCTGGAGTGATCTTTTTGACCGGAGTGGGCCCGACATGAATGTCGAAATGATAAGAAATCCCATTCCCGATTCCCGGCTAGTTGAAAGTGTCTTGGAAACTGGTTCCAATGTTTCTCATTTAGGGCCAATACAGAAAGGCAGGGTGATAGATCTGACGATCCCTTTAAACTGGTTAAGAATGCAATGTTTGTCACACACATCAACATCCATCAAACTTCGGTGATCAAACACATTGTTCTTCAGATGTAAAGGACAGGTACGGTGTTGACCTTCTAAGGGCAGGGTGTCGATGAAACAATTGTGTGCAGGGCTGAGCAGGGCCCAGGGCTTAGGGACGTGTTCAATATATGTGTTTGCAACTGTTGCTTCGCGGATAGGTTTCTTTATAGTTGTTCCTTGAAATTGGATGTCAGAAAGAATTACTCCCCTTCACTCAGGACTTTTCAGGGTCTTTCCATTGAACATGCCTTGGAATATCAAAACTATGGTGATGGCATGTGATGACAATCCCAGGCAACTGATACTTTTAAGAAGAGGTTGACAAGTTGCCCTTGCCCAGGGCCTGCGAGTCATCACCTTTGTTGTCTCAAAGTATAGCCACCTAGGAAAAACATGATTCTTTGGCAGTGAAAAGAAACATCCTCCACTGTTCCCAGAATTGAGGTGAATCGAGCCTCCCGTTGCTGGGTGAATTGAGCCTCCAGTCCAATTTCACCTGATAGCCCAGGTCCTTGAAGTGGAAACGGTGCGCTTCATCCCTCGCTACTCACCCCACCTCTACCAGACGGTGGAATTGAGCCCCTACAACCCTCGGCCAGCGACCGCGGGGGCGCCGGAATTCTTGGCCGTGCTCCAGTGGGTCAAAGAAGAATCTAAGGAGGGATGAGTTGGTGTGTCGGACGAAGCCAGGCCTTTGGAATCACCCAAACTCGTTGTAGGGAGGAGTGAAGCACGAGTGCATATAGGTGCATCCGTTACTAGTAACAAGGGTCATTATAGTAGCAAGTTAAGCTAATATTAACAAGTGCATCGCTACTTGCAGGGAGGAGTGAAGCACTGCCAGCTTTGCAGGACGTGAAGACCTTTGAGTTCCAGTTAGCTCCTTTGCCTCGTCCGGGTTCTTTGGAGCTCAAGCCCGGGCAACACGTCCGGCTGGCGCTGCCGGCGCTGAAAGCGGAGAAGGAGAGCCTTCCGGAGAGGACCTGGACAGTGACCTCCACGCCAGGTGGGAGGTTTTTCTTAATCGATTTCCAAATGGCCGGGCCCAAGAGCTAGTGGAAATCAAGAACATCACATCTACCAAATGTAGTTTGTTCTTTTTTGCTTTCTCTTGGGAACCTCCTACATCGCCTGCTGGGCTCCCAAAAAGCAAAAAGCCTCACGTACGAAGACTCCTTGAATTCTTCGCATTGGACCTATGCCCGGTGGTCGCAGGTTGGTTTGCGGATCATGGCCGCTTTCAGATCTCGGTGAAGCATAAGCCTGGAGGTTTGGCATCAAGCTTCCTCCACGAGCTGAACCCCAAGGAGAGGGATGGGAGGATGCGGTCATTTCACAAGGGCAGGGCGGCAGTTTGGTTCCTCAACCAAGATCTTATTGTATCACACTTTGGACAACTTTATGCTCGTTATGCTCCCGGACCCCTCAAATGTGGATCCAGTTTGGCCCTACTCGGCAATAGGTCCTATATATCTTCACGCCCCCCCGTGTCCCGCTTCATCCCCTTCTCTCCAACGATCATTCAAAGCCAACCTTTTCTAAAGTAGCCAAGTGGCTCGGTCATGGCAGTCCATCGGGGCAGGCCATGCTCTTCAAAACCACAACCCTTTTACTTTAACTATTTTTATGTGTTTGTGCTGGCGCATGCTTTTAGCCCTTGGTTCAAAGGGTTGGTATTGGATGTGTTTAAAGCAGCCGATGAATCAATGACTGCAACCCATGGACCTTTCTTTTAACCCGTGGATGATCAGGTTGGGTTTCCAAGTTACACCTGGTTTTGCTTAAGGTTTATATATATATATTATACAATATATATATATATTATATACAATATATATATTAATATAGTATATATATATATTTCATATGTTTTAGGGTTCCTTAAGCAAATCCAAGTTACAGGCCATTCCAACTTGCAAACATCTCAGCTTCTTCAAACACTGCAGTCGCTCTACGCCGTTACGCGCCCTCTCTATCACTATCTCTGCTGTGTCCAAACGACCGCCGCAGCGACCACGCGAGGATGCCGAGCACGCCCGGTTGCACTTCCTGGGCTTTGCCGGGGAGTTCGGCCCCCAGCTGGACGCCAGCGGGCAGCTTCGTCGCAGGGCGCCCACGAACGTGGTCTTCCTGACCGCAGGAATTGGCTCCACTCCTGCAGTGGCAGAGACTGGGCAGAAGGGATAAACGGTCGAACTAGAACCATTGGACCATCTTAGTCACTGGGTAAAGTGCTGCCTAACTTCTGCAAGATCTACAAGCCAGTTGTTCCAGTTGTTCAGAAGAAAAAACAGTATACAAGGAACGGGGAGATGACATGATTTGCACTTCGCTAGAAGATTGGCCATGCCAGCCATTGACACTTCATGGGTCTGAGGCATCCAGGGTTGCTGTGTGCACCCTGAAGACGTGTTGGATGAACTGATGCACGGACCACAGAAACTTGTTCACACGGATCCTCAGTTCTTCATTTGTGTCCACCACTAGTAACCTTTCCTTGGGAGTTCAAGACACTAAGTGTCACTTGGTACAAACCTCAACTGTGGTTCCGTTTTCCACTTCGCCGAAACCTGCTCCATTGGGCGGTTGTCCTTCAGCTTCTGACAAAGTGAGGCGATGAAGGCCATGGCAGAAACCACACCATGGCCTTTGACCTTGAGCATTTTCCACTCGGTGCGCCAGTTGAACGAGGTCAGCTCCGGAAGTTTCTGTATAGGAAAGCGTTGATGTTGAACTTCGAACAAAACAACAAAAATTGCTCGAGAGGAGGTTGAAGATCAAACTGAGCAAAATTATGATTTGACACAGCTAGTTGGTCTCTCTTTCTCTATATAAGTCAGCATTCAGGGACTCATCGTCAGTTTTGTGAGGGATCTAGTGGAACATGGCAGCATTTCCTTTCGAGACTCCTCATCGGTTCAATGGCAAAGGCAGCATTCCTCGAGTTCTTCATCTCTGCTGTACGGATCTTGACTGACCTCGGCATCACCACCCGTATGGTCTTGTCCCTCACGGGCCCCGATGCAGCGCGTGAGAGCAAGGAGTTCAATGCCTGGCTTCAAGCTGCAGGTGCCAAGCGTACAGGTTTTGGACTTCAAACGCTGTTGGTGCGCCGTTTCGCCTTGACTGGTTGAGTATCCAAGATTGGTTGAGGACCAGAGGACCAGTTGGCAGCTGGTTGATTTGTTCTGAAATGGGTTGTGTATCCAGTGCGTTGATTTGACCTATAGAAGATATCAAAGAAACGATGCAACATGTGGCATGTCACGTTTGTCGAAGGCCAAAACATGACAAGCGGCTGACAAGCGTCAAGAAGATGCTGGTATCTAAGCAGTGCATGGTATCTAAGCATAGTTGGCTGTGAGTCAAAACCTGGAGCCCTGGTCACCCTGGTAGGTTGACCTCCCTGGTACTGGTAGGTAGTCTATTCATGTCGGTTCACGTTCGGTGGTCAACCACATTCCCTCTGTGCCATGACGGGTCCAGCAGATACGGAACAGATCTGCCAGGCCATGCAGGGCTGCGTGCAGAAGCAGGGCGCTTGTCGATTGAGGCACTGAAGGATCTTTCGACCTTGCAACTCGGTCAGAAAGAAAACACTGCGCAGAACATCCAGAGCACCCTCCAAACTTACACAAGAAACAGTCATAAATATAGATATAAACGGTCTCCACTCACCTTCTTCTCAGAAGGTCTGTGGATCCATAGGGATGTATATAATCAAATGCCATAGAAACGGAGTCTTTAGGCTAGGCCCCACGAATAGAAAACCATTTTCCTCGTCGCCATGGTCCGGTCCCTGAGAGCCATGACTTCCACCGAGTCGCCTGGTGAAGGGGTCCGTGCTAGGCCTAGCCGCCAGGCTAGGCCGATGAATTTGCGTTCCAAAGCTGGAACGGGTTGGGCATCAGAGATGTTTTGTTACTTTACTTGGGATGATTGGAGCCACTGGCTTCCATTTTTCAAGGGAGTTGAAACATGTTGAAACTAAACCGCTCACTTTCACCGTGCAAGAATGGTTGGCTCCAAAAACCACCAGTTGAGTTGAGCTTGGCTGGACTCCCACCTACTCCCACCGCCTCAGGCAAAAGGATGAGACGGAAGGCTTCCTCTGTGGGCCAAGCAGCTTCGAGGCTAAACGACGACCGATGCGGTGGGGCCCGTTGGCCGGAAACGTCCGGTAGCGATGCCAGAAGCCCCTAGTAGCGTTCTTGCTCCTAGTAGTAAGGCCAGGAGCCCCGTTCGTAGCTTCTTGTTACTATTTATGTCATATGTCCATATAGCTTGTGACTGTAGTATGGGGTATGCAAATCAAGATTCTTTTGGATTGGGGCTTGCAGTATTTGTTCGAGCACATCTTCCTTTCGATGAGATGTATCCCAATGGGACTCTCGCACTCATAAATAGATTTATTTGCAGACACAGACCTTTCGGATCATTGATAATCTATTCTGAAAAAAAGAACTAACTTTCTGACGTTTTCTGGGTGTGTGGGTTTCAAATTATCACCAGGGCTTGTAACTGTTGAGACCTTTATGGAGCAATGCAAAGCAACAAGCAATCTTCAACCAGAGCTGCCCACTCCACATTGGAATTCACACGGATTCATCGATTCCGAGTTGTACATTCCAGCTTTCTGTGTTTAGTATTTAGCGGTTTAGCGTGTTATGTTTTCATGTTGCAGATGCCAGAGAAAGGTTTCTGTTCTGTTTTTAGGGGTAGTTACAGACTCTACATGACTCTCTCTCTCTACATATTTACACTGTTTTGACGATGAATTCTGCTAGGCGGCCGCCAGCGAGATTTGGACTGCCGCTGGCTTCCATGCCAGGGCTCTCCACACTGAGAGCTTTGCATATTAATTGCCTGGCAGTTGAATTTTCGGCCGTCCTGTGGTCGCCAACGGATTTATGGTCCGCTTAGGCTTCTGCGGATCAAAAGCCGTGTGGACTTCTGCGGATTTGACGGAGTCTGCACTTTGTAAAGTGGCACCATGTCTTTCTTTTTCCACAGCTTTGACAAGGACAACAGGTTGACATGGGTGCACAGAAACCTCGCCCCAGAAAGTTGCCAATGACAAGCTTTTCTGAGGGCCATGTGCACACCCCTACTGATCAACCTTGTGCATAGATGCACTGCACAAGACCAGTGCTGTTGAGTTCTCCGGCGAGCGCACAGAAGGGTCCGCTGAAGAGCTTTGCAGGAAAACACCGAAGAGATGAATGACGCCTTAAGATTGTCCATGAGTTTGACAACCAGATGTTCCATCCTTGGTGTCCAAAGCCACCTGAAAACACACTGGGAACCTGAAACCAAGATCAGCTGCCTTTTTCAAACTTAGCAGTTGGAACGATCTTCATCTCCACTGCCTTTAGATATTGCCCAACACGCCTCGCTATGTTGCTTCATGCATCTCTAAAATCCGGCATATCAGCCACCCACACCTGGAACGCGTTCATTATGTTTCAGTCACTTCCCCCTGAGTTTCGGGAAAAAAAAAACACCTTCCGGAACCGGAAGTTCCACTTCTTTATTTATCTTTTCTGTGCGTTTGTGGGTCTCCATCACCAGGACGAGGAGTCCACCATGACCGCTGAGTCTGACCTCGAAGTCTTGGAGGTGAAGGCGGAAACATCTCGACACGTCCGTCCAAAGACATGGAAGGGAAACAACGAAGAACACGAAAAGCAGGACCAGATGTTGGCAGAAGTAAGAACCCCCCTGATAAAAAAAAATGGTAAACCTATACAGTATGTATACCTGGTTGGGGAAAGAAGATGAAGACTCCTTCAGAGGGAAATGCCATGAGCACATCTCAACAGCCACTGTGCGACCGTCTCTCACTGTGCGTTGCTGCGGGACGGTCTCTCTATGACGTGGTCCAGTAAGGGAAGAATGGCCACGGGTCACGAGCCACCTGGGTCACCTTAGTGCGCATTTCATTTGGAGTGTTTTTTGTTTTTTTTCGTGGTGCACTTGGTGGTTCTGTAAAATGGCTACGAAAAGACTCAATTGATATGTGATATGATGTTAGTTATAATATACTTATGTTTTGCATACAACCCCATTTGTGACCATCTGATCAATCCGGTCTACATTCGGCGACAGTCGTTCTCCAAATTCAGGAACAGAAGGTTCACTCCGCTAAATCCTGACCAGGACAAGGAGGCCATTCCTATTAGGTTGGAGGCCATCGCTATTGATCAGACGACACGCAGCCGAGTTCCCGTGAGGGTCCGAGTTCTTCTAGTTTCAGGCACCACGCCCCTCCGCCGGGGTCCCAGGGCTGAGGGCGAGATCGGTCCAAAAGCGGTGAAGAAACATGGCCTTCTGTGCCTAGTAGCGTCCTTGCTCCTAGTAGCGATGCCAGGAGCCCCTAGTTGACCCAGAATTATGGTGGATCATGGAGACTGAGTATATGTGCCAACATCCATGCAGGTGTTTGGCAATTTTTACCCAGGAAAAGTAGATCACCTGCCCCATCTTTTTGGAAGATTGGTTTCCTTACTCAAACCCAACAGGTGGAAACGGGTCAACCTTAGCGGCTCAGGTTACTGTAGATCGATGGCCACGTTGGGTTCGCCGCAGCACGTGAGCGCCCCCCATGTTTATTGGCTGCATGGTCACCAGGTGGGAATCCCAGATGTTCGGATGCTGCGGTAAGGACTCGGTTTCCGTCCATCCGACAAGGAGCTGTCCTGACCCTCTAAAATTTCCCAGGCACTCCATGTAACGTGTGGAATAAATGCCAATATAAATATACCTTTGTGGTTTCACCCCAATGTATGTAGATAGGCCATGCATGTAGTGTTTGGGATTGGTGATGCCTCCGACTACCCCATGATGACTGACTGGCGGAGGAAATCCTAAACCTCCTAAACCACCTGAAGCCCAGGTCTTGTGTACCATATTTTTCAGCATCATCAGTGATCCATTCACTTGGTTCTACATGGGACACTGCAGCTTAGGGATTCCACCCGAAACTCATGTCTCCAAGGCACCTCCCAAATCCATCCTGAGAAGCCGATGACTCGCCCCAAATCACGTGGCGCCTGCGTCTTGGTGGAGTGAAGAGGCATCCGCTTTCGGAGGAGTGGCGGATGGAGTGATGGAGTGATCCCTCCAGGCTTCAAATCGATTTGAGTTCCACAGAGAGGAACTGGGGTTGGGATGTGTGACTTGTTTGCCAGGGCATTCCTACTGAGCCAATAGTTCATTCAGTGGGACTCTGTCAGAAGTAACCAATTGTGAGTGGCCTCCTACCACTTCAGTTTGCCGCAACATGCCACTTCTCATAGGCGTGGATGCTTGGTGAAGCCGAATCGACTCGTTGTGCAGAAAGCTCACTTTCGGTCTGGACTTTGAAGACTCCCGCAGAACGCAGTAGACTGAGTAAAGACCACAGACAACAAGCACGGCAGGTCCCGACTGGTAGGACTATCGAGCAGATTACAACCAACTGAACCAGCAGACCCAGGGCCTTTCCACCAAGGATGCCATTTGCTTGCTGGATGAGGGGCCCCTGCGGCGGCGGCCGGTGACACAGACCAAAGTGTTTGACCCCAGGATTGCCGCTGCGAAGCTGCCGCGCAAAAGAAGTGGGTGTGTCGAGAAAGGAGAGTCACCCAATTAATTGAAGGGAGTGTTGAAGGGTTGATAATTAGTCTAACCCCCTACCTGAGTTGCTGGGATTCTGCAGATTCCCTTATTCTCAGACACACCTGGTTCCAGATTGTGGTAAAAAGACTGAGAGAGTTGAGGAGAGCATGCCGCTACGTGCCGACACGTGGCGTAAATGCTGCGGTCTTTATGTATCTGCTTACATCATGCAGAGTGCCCCACCCTACAACGGTAGGAACGTCTTGGCGCACCTGTATCACCTGACACTGTTTAGTTTAGTTCAAACGGAGGCTGTTATCAAATCTACCGTTTCAAGGCTTGGGCTGGGTCAAGAGGAATTTGGGGCCATACAAAACATTTGGACATTAAATAATAAGATCAAGGAAAACAATCATGAAATTGAATCCGTGTCTCTGTGATGCTTGTGTATACTCTTTGCGGCAATGCCTTCGGAAGATTGGGCTCACGAAAGCTGCAGACACATGGCGTTGCCCGGTCGCGTGAGTCGCGGCTGGGAAGTGCGGAGCTTTGGCCGGTCGCACATCGTGAGTAGTGAGGAACCTAAGCTGGGTCGCGTGATACTTGCGAGGCAAGTCGACTGTGACTCGTGGGTCCTACGAAAAGCATCATGGACTTCCATGCTCGAGCACATGCTCACAAAAACAGAATAGCATGATCCAGCAACCACGAGACCTATCGTGTTCTGGGTGTCTTTCGGAACTGCAGTGCACCAAGCGTCGTTCTGCCGAAGGTCCCTGAGTCACCGAGTCGCTCCGCCGGAAAGAACCGAAACGGCAGAGAAAGCGTCGGAGGCGATGCAGCGGAGCGGTGAAAAGAGTGGAGCCACATGAGCGGAGCCAGCTTGGCGCATCTGGCCTCATAGGGATGGATCCACAGACCTTCTTAGGTTCGGTACGACTGGACCCTCCAAGCCCTAAATTATACCATGGTGTTGAACACATCGCCCTATCAGAGGGTATGTGGATCCATAGGACTTAGAATGAGTGAATGTGGATGTCTTATAATGTCTTGCAGCAAGTTGGCAGATGTAGACACTGTGTCACTGCAATGCCGGTGTCAAGCCCAGTTCGAGCCCAAATTCATTTGGGGCAAGAGATTTGTGATGTCATCCTCTTCAATGCATCTCCGATCTTTCAGATCCAGCCTGATCTTTGTGCTCTTTGATAATCAAATTCTGAAACAAGGGCTCCACCTTGATGTTTCCAGTCTGTATGGCATGGTTGGTTACTGGCAGTGGATATTGATGCATTACATAATCACAAGCCATAATACGGTGAAAGATCCACACGTCCTTTACCATTCGCGGTGTGCTTGCTTTGCTTGCTTGCCGCAGCTGCTTTGCGGCCAAGCCGCTCGGCGTACAGTGTTCCGGCCTCTCCGTTCCAGCGAGTCAAGGCGTGAAAAGCGTCCCGCATCGACCGGGGGAACCTACGGTATGACACGAGGTGCACGAGGTGATCGGGTAATTCAGATACTGGGAAGCTCGATGTGCCGGAGTGCTAACTAAGGACAGATCGTCTGGAAGCTGGCCTTTGTGATTGAAGTGTTGATTTCTCTGCCTTTGATCCAAATGGAATCTCAAACACCACCGAGGGGATTGAATCCTTTCACGGATATGTCATCCGTGGTCAGTCACCCAAGTCGACATGATTGGACCAAAAGATGTGGCACCCAGGAGCTCCATCCAGTCACAGTTGCTTTTGGAGACACCTGCTTCGCCTGTTTGAAGTTGTTCCAGTAGAAACGAAATGGTTATCAGCCAATGCATTCATTCATTGGTCAGTTACTGTATGTTGTTTCTCCCCAACAGAGCATCCTATTGAGCCTAAGTTTGAGAAGGACTTGTTATGTCTCACCGCCCATGTCCCGCTCGCCATGTCTGCCCATCTATTGCCACGGCCCAGGAGAGACATGTCCTGCTGGCGTGGAGTATGTCGAGCATGTCGCAATCGCCAGGGGCCTGAGAGCTGGTCCTTTGAGTCGAGCGACCGAGAAAGACGACATAGAATAGAAGGTGCATGGATCTGACTGGGGGCGGAGAGAACAGCGGTTAGTATGTATCAATCGTTTGTAGATTTATGTAGTCTTTCAACAGTCAACATTATCCTGCTGCTCTTGATAGCAAAGGTTGGCAATCCTCAAAATTCCTTCTGTTTGGGCCTGTATGGGCAGGGAATCTGTCGCTGAGGGGACCTTAGTTTGTCTCACAAGAATCAACGTATATAGCAAATGTCAATTGCTAAGCGGCCTTGAAGTGGTAATGACTGAGGCCCAAGGACATCCAATGTTGGAAAAAGTCAGCTTAACGAGCAGCTCGAGCCTTTTGAAACCTTTCAGAACGCCCTGTAACTGTAGTTGCACCGAAGTCCAAATAGAAAACTGCCTCACGCAATTGATTTCGAGCCGAGAGAGAGAGAGAGCATCACATACCTAGAAATCTGTTTTATTTTGATAGGAAAATATCATATTTTGGGGTGGTTGGTGTTCCAAAAAAAGAGGTCACTCAGGGTCTAGATTCTACATATAATATGTACATCCAGCCCAGCTTCAGAGCTCGAAACCCTAGAAAATTCGATGGGGGCAGTGCAGTTCACAGACGATGGGGGGAGAGCTGCTTGTCGTTAGGATGACTTTGAAAAGGATTGTGACGTTGGTTTGATGTCATTTGTGGTTGGGGTATCCAAGGCGAAAACAAGTGAGAGGGTATCCATATGACCGGAAGATGATGGACCCAACGAAGAGCCGACGGCTCGCCGACAGCCCAAGAGCCGATGCAGACTCCACGGTTTCCACTGGCGTCCAAAGCTGTCAGGCAGCATCAATGCAACGCAGGAGGCGAGGAGCCCTGTATGTTTTTATCCCAAAAAGACCACTTTGATGAGAAATGAGGATAAGGGCAAAACTCAGAACTCATTTCAGAGGTAGACAGAGAGATAGTTTGGCTTTCGTCTTTGGACGCCTTGGGTGCTTGTATGGCATGTGCCACTAAGTTCAATGTCTTTTGTCTCCCAGACAGGTTTCCACGGTCAAGTTGCGTGTCATCTCGACGCTTTCAAGATTTTTTCAAAACCGTGATTACTCAAGGTCTGGACTGGACTGGTTCATCTCCAAGTGCTAGACCATGTCACCTTGCCAGCCCAACAATTTGCATATCACCCAACGAACTGCTTCGCTCCACTTTCAGCATGGACCTGCTTGAGGCAGCCTCGCAGCCTGCGCCCGGACACTGAGCTGGGTAGAAATCCATCACTGGAGCGAGGTGCATGGACAAGAGCCAAAATCAAATATGTTGTTTTTCTGTGTTGTAGTTGTGTGTGTGTTTTTCTTTTTGTTTTTTTTCTCTCTCTCTCTCTCTCTTTGTATACTGTACATTACATATATATATATACTGTATACCTGGATCCTCCTTTGGGCGGAAAAAAGTGCCGGACCTCAATCCGGCAAAGTTTTCCGCCGGATTCCGAAAAAAGACCGCCGGAGACCTGAAAAAACATCCGGATCCAAGATTCTGAAAAACAGATGATAAAAGGTTGGATCATACACAAGCAAACCGCCCTTGTGCCACGAGTAGTTTTTGCTGGAACACGCTCATTCCACAACCCAACACTGGAGCCTTCCCGTTCCCATTGCCCTCGCCCATCTTCCGAACGGCCTAAGAGCAGAACCATCACAACATATTCGCAAACGTGTGCCCAAGCAGAGACTTCCAAGAAGAAACCAATGAGTATGTGACAAGGAGCCCCTATTTCTCTGCAACCGTGTCTCTAGAGTTCTTTCTTTAACGAAGTGGGTTGATCTGCATGATTATTATGTTCTAAAACACAAACGCTTGCCTCAGGACGGCCCCACCAATAAAGTAGCAGAACTCATGGTTCCTGTCGAAACTCATTGAAAAACTTTTCAAAACTCAATCCTTCAGAAGACTGAGTCCAAAAAAATGCCGGAGTTACGGGAAATTATGCCGGAGTTACAGGAAATTACGCCGGAGTTACGCCGCGCATTTTTTTTTAGCAACTCTCTGCAAAACAGTGAGATTCTGAACAACACATGTTCCACAGCCCAAAACTTGTCCGGCAGGCTCTGCAAACCTGCGCAGCTAGAACTATATCCCAGCGCCCCGACATCCTGAAACAATGGGAGTACATGTTTGCCTATATGTTCTTTCAGCTTAGGTACACCCACCTGGGTCTTTCAACACGTGCATCGCACTGTACCGATTTCATCCGAATTCATTTAGAAGATCACCTAAACGGATCTGATTGATCCAGTGTGAACCATGCTGAAACCGGTGGAATGAGAAAACAGCGGAACAGGCAAACGAGCGCACTTTGCAAGCAAAATCATTGCATCAGTAGTGGGCAGTAGTGGGTTTACCTTCAAAGAAATGCGGACCACAAAGAATGATCCCCGTCTGTTAGGGCACTATTTTTGCCTGAGGGTTGAGGTCGTTTTATATAACTGTTGATCTGTCCGGTTGGCTCCAATATTTACCCAGAGCGACAGGATTTCATAAAGGTTGCATGGAAAAGCAGCTTTCAAAACAGGATTTCATAAAGAGTGAAACCACAGCAAAATATAAAGATTTAAGTCTTTCTCACAGCTCTTTCACTTACAGGATTTCATAGCCATATATAGCTGATCTTAGAGCTGTCCAACGTGAAGCCATTTTGGCATAATTGTTGCGCAAATTGTTGCTTCCAAGATGAAGCAAAAGCTCACGGCCTGGAGGCCGAAAGCGGGTGTTCTCACCTGCAAGGTGGAACACTGGAACACTGAGATCTGCAAAGAAAGGAATTCTACTGTCAGTTTTGATATCCACTGACCCCTCCCTCGTTGCACGAATTAATGCGGCAATGCAACACACGAAAAACCATGCGCGCGAAAAAAACCACCAGCCCAATTCCATGAACATTTGCTCGGGAGAGGGTTACGTGTTAGATTATCCTTCAGCTACCCAGTCCCGTCGGCCAAGCACATTGG